CTTGGTCTTGTGCAGCCAGAATTAGCCCCTCTGTCTCTTTCTTCAACTTTCCTGCTCTTAGCCATTGCCAGGATTTGTTGTTATCTGCTTTGCCTGCTAGTTGTTTTGTGTACGTGGCCATGCCTTGCCATGTCTCTTTTCTATTCTTCATTTGGTCTTTCTTGTAGGCCACTTTGGTCTCTTAAGTATTCAGTAAGCCTTCATGGTATACTTAGCTCCAGTGCTTCTTCTTCACTGTCCTTCAGATATTCTCCCAACGCCCTTTTCTTCAGCTGTCTGGTATACTTTCAACATTCCACACCTACCTGTGCTCCTTGGTAAGTACAGTCTGTCAACATTTCTGGGTGGATGAAGGGCTTGTTTCATTGTTATTATTTCTCTGGTCTTCCTATCCAGGGCTTCTACTTGAGTCCAGTCCACTATTCCATATCTAATGACTGGAATTCCCCAGGTTTTAAGTGCCTTGATGGCCTTTCCTCCACTGAATTTGAACTTTAAGATCTTCTTCACTGTCATAATGTATTCACTACTAACCTTCTTCTTGACTCCAATGTGCTTGATGTCAGCTTCAGGGATGCCCAGGTATTTGTAGTGATCTTATTCATCCAGACTCTTGATGTTATTTCTTGATTCCTTCAGTTTTCACTATTTTTCCCTTGTTGATGTCAAGGGTGGCAATTTGTCCAGTCCAAACTCCATTGTAGTATCTTGGTTGTATATTTGAACAGTGTTGTACAGTGATTCTATTTCAGTTGGTGTTTTCCCATATAGCTTCAGATTCTTTATGTAAAGGAGGTGGGATAGCCAGGCAGATGTTTTTGATGTTTGATAGCCATGACTTGATTTGTTCAATATTGTTGACAGAGGAATGAATGCAATGACAAACAGCAATGGTGATAGTGAGTCTCCTTGAAAGATTATAATTAATATTCAGTACTATTTAATAAAGTAGTATTTATTAAATTATTTTCATATAATAAATGTTTGCAGGTTGATGAACAATCTGAAACTTCATAAGGGGTCCATGAGCTGAAGAGTTTGGGGACCCTTGGCATATAGGTCTGAGGCATATAAAGCTAGGTAAAAGAAAAACTCTATGCTAAAACATGGTGCATTAGTCCAAAAATAGAAAGTACTAATTTTAGTTTCAGAATGGATTATGCAAATCAAATGTATTTGCAGATAATTGTTCATCTTGGCTGTTTTGTTCTAATTGCTTTTTGTAGAATTTTTAAATTTTGCTGTATTTTAAGTCTGTTTGCTAGTGGTTGCATTAAAAATTGAGACAATGTGGTACTGCAAGACTAGCAGGTTGCATAAAAAGATTGTAGCCTATATTTCGGCTTGATGACTTCTCCTTATTCATAACAATGTTAAATTCCCCCCTAAAATTAAGAAGACTACCCAAGTCTGAGGACAATTTACCTCAGATATTTCTATTTTTCCATTACCTCTCCAGCACAGAAAGGTTACATTGCTGTTGTTAGGGTCTTAGGAGTACCCTAGTTATGGTCATCACATCCTGAAGGAAACTGGACATTTAACAGAGACCATTCATGTTAGAGATAAAATTAGCTACCCAGACTGAGGCTCCAACAAAGTGAATGGAAGCTCTTCCCAAAATATGTTATTCAGGCAGTAGGAATAGGAAGGTTTAAAGGACTTTTAAGTACATGAAAATCAAAGGTGACTCCGTATTGAAATTCAGAAGATAATTTGGATTCTACCCCTCCCCCCGAAAACTCATCTGGGCTTTTCTTGATCTTCCCTTACTGAAATGTAAGTTCTGATTTGTTTGTCTGTTCCTTTTTAAAATCATGAATTCATACATAGCAGTGCTATCTCTACTCAGCTAGAACCATTTTGCAAAGACTGGTCCCTGAGGCAGAACCATTAATCCAGCATATTGGATGATTGACAAATAAATTAAGGTTAATTCTGGAATTAGTCTGAATTTTGGTATATTTCCTAGGATGTAGTCCTTCATGTCCTTTAACGTATAAGCAACTAGAGATAGCGACTCCATCAGTTTGCACTGTAGCTTCTTTAGCTATTACCAGATGACAAATGTTCTTTTGGTAGATTGCAGGGATGAGTTTTTCCCTGTGCTTTGATTTTCCAAAGAGAATTTCCTTCTGTGGCCTTGGTTCAGGAAAACTTAGCAACAATTTAGGTAGAGGGATAACATGACAATCCAGATGAGGGACTTTGGGATTAAAAGAGTTCTATATTGTGCAGTCCTTGGGGTTCTCTGAGCTTGGTTGTTTTCTTGTGCATTGAAGATGTTACCTAGCCAAGTGATGAAACATCTGTAAGAAAACAACCCCAAAGAGAACCCCAAAGACTCTACAATGCAGCCCTGAGCTACATATATTCTCTTCTATTGAGACAACTATATTGTTTTAATAATGCTGAAGGAAACAATAGGCTTTCTCAGTTTCTGAGAACTGTTGAAGAATAATCTATTTACTTTCTTTTTATGTTGACCATTGATACCACTTTTTTTCCAGCATGATTGATAATAGATTAAATCAGACCAAAATGTAAAACAAGACAGTACACAACATCAAAATAATGATAAAGCCAGTAGCCTGGAAAAAAAAAAAAAAAGGCTTCTGAATAACATGTTAAGCACAACACAATGATTAGAATGGTTCTTAAACAAATTCTGCATCTACCAAAAAATATTCTGTGAATCTCAAAAACAACTCACCTGGCCATTCTGGAGAATGAAGAAGTTTAATAGGCTAAATCAGTGTTGTCCCATGCTGGCTGGGGAATTCTGGGAGTTGAAGTCCACTCATCTTAAAGTGGCCAAGTTGGGACAACTCTGGGCTAAATGGTTTTAGTCATAGTTTTGATTCTGCATCTACCAAAAAATATTCTGTGAATCTCAAAAACAACTCACCTGGCCATTCTGGAGAATGAAGAAGTTTAATAGGCTAAATCAGTGTTGTCCCATGCTGGCTGGGGAATTCTGGGAGTTGAAGTCCACTCATCTTAAAGTGGCCAAGTTGGGACAACTCTGGGCTAAATGGTTTTAGTCATAGTTTTGGGAAACTTCTCCTTAATTCCTAATAGAAACAATAGCTATACTAATGGTTAGAAACTTCATCTGGGTATGAAGCTGAGAGACCTTGAGAAACAGGACACTAAGAGCAGCATGCTTTAATATACATGGGTTCCACATATTTCAAAAATCATATCATTCTATGATATAAGGCATAGCACCTATACATAATTCAAGAATATTCTTTATTAGCAATTCAAACTTCCTTCTGAGAAGAAATATCCAAGCCAGGCATATCCCCAAAGCCTTCTACAGAATTAACAAATGTAGTCAGTTAAAAAGAAATAACAACTGAATTTTTTATCAGATGGGATTTAAAAATAGAAAAATAGTTGATGAGGCACAGAATGGTACTGAGAAAGGAAAATAATACTTCTTTCCCCAAAATATTTTGGTAACAGCTGACAGGAGCAGACCAACTTACTTGAAGAAGGGTTACTGGAAGGCTATTCTCATTAATCCAATAATAGTTTGAATAATGCAGTGCAGAGCAAAATAGAAGAGGTACACTGGTTGTTTATTCTTGTGTTCAGTTAAAATAGTTACATATTGCAACTATGTAAAAATAGGTGATTTATGGACTTAACACACAAAGGGGGCTGTATATTTGGTATACTTTTTGATAAAGCCTTGATGGGAATTTGTCATGCTGGATAGCTGAAATGTGGAATAATGTTCCACAGAACAGAATGTTGCTGTGTGAGGAGCACTTCTGAACTACAACTCCCAGTTTTCCTTGTCACTGACCATGTAGCCAAGAAGGAAGGTGTGCTTCAGCAGAAACCACAGTCACTGGTTCTCTCTGCCAGAGGCACTAGCTAGGTGGTAAATCTAAACCGGAGCTAGAGATAAATTCCTAGCTTTAATTCTCCCCTGGTGTTCATGCCCACCTTCAATGACCCCACACCAATCCTTCCTGCTTTTTCTGTCGCATTCCTATAAATGATTTTGGCTATAGTGGTAGTAAGGTCAGTAAGTAAGGAGAAATCAGGTGGAAACTTTTCTTTGTCTCCGTGTCTAGCATCTTGAGACACTACTATAGGTAGCAAGCAAGCCAGCAGAAGCCTTTTGTTCTAGGATAGAAGGGGAAGTTGGATAGGTTTCTTCTTAAAAAATAAAGAGATTAAATATTCAGTGTTTTTTTTTTTTCCACTTGCTGTTGCCATTCAATATGTGTGAATTGTTGTTCACATTCTTCTTGAGATAACAGGAGAGGAAATGGAAATGCTGCTTTGGTGATTAATTCATGTAATATGCCCAAAAGGTGCTATATGTCAAGGTAGATAATGGCAACATCACAGAAAAAGGACTTTGCAAATTACACCTGTACAGACCAAAGCAGTAAGGATTAATTGCAAAGAGGAAGACTGCTCATGAAAAAAATGTTAAGATCCTTTCTTCATCTCAAGGGCTAATAATTATTTACTTCAAGTGCTGCACTGCTTGAAGAAAAAGGCAAAACTCTTTGGCAGTCAGGTCTCAAACTGTTTAGGGCTTTGCTGCTTAACAATAATGTGTTGAGAAACTTAGCTGCATTCAGTGTAATGGGATCCACTATTGTGGATGGTGGAAATTCTGCTTAGCAACTAGGTCACAACATTCTGCTCTGACCTGTTTCTCTGTGGATGGGGGAGTGGGTGGGCAGGAGATGTCATAAGCATGACTTCAGCAGAACTGAACAGACCAATAACACATAAAGACAGCCATTGTCATGGGCTACACTTTCCATTACAAATGTGAATGGAGAAGCTCAAGATTTGAACTTCAAAAGGAAATGGAAAATTTCTGACGCCATGGTTCAGTTCCCTGTGAATCAGCTTGAGAGTATGTTGCTATCGAGTGCAGAGGGCTGGCAATCTTGGGGTAGGGAATTTAGATATTTGGAGTGTGTTTAGTAGGCTACTTGATTATTCATGTAATGCCTGCCCTGGTGAGCAATTTGTTCAAACGGTTGTGGTGGTGATAGATTAAGAGGTCCATTTCCAAACAAGGGACGTGGTTCAAGCAACATGGTTATCCAAGGAGTCGTCTCGCCCCATTATATCAGCCCACCCCACTCAGTTTAGTAGAGGGGGCATGTTGCAGACCTCACCAGTCAAGGTACTTCGGCTGGCAGGGTCTAGGAAGAGGGCCTTTTCTGCCATGGTCCTCGCCCTGTGGAACAGCCTACTACCTGAGGGCTTCCAGAAAAGTGTGAAAAGATGGCTATGCCAGATGGCCTGGGGGCCTGATGGGGACTTGCATTGTTGGAACTGGCTGGTGGGATAATCGATACTGCTCCCCCCCACCCCATCATCTTGAATTATATATAGTCTTTTTGTATAGAATTGTTATTAGCTAGTTTTAATAAGGATATTTATATTTTCATTGTTCTTACTGCTTTGGATTTTTAATGTGAGCTGCCCAGAGTCACCCTCTAGGGGTGACGGGCAGCATATAGATTTGATTGATTGATTGATTGATTGATTCACCATTTTTTTCTTTTTGCCTTAATATGTGGTATTGTAAATCAAAATGACCTGCAGCATACTAGCTTAAAACCAGAAGGGGCAGTGTATTTGAAGGGCACTGAGTTTTTTGAACCCCCATTAGAGCTCACCGCCTACTTGTGTTTGGAAGTTTCAGTGAAAAGTCACATTTTAAGATAACTAGGACTGACATATCCTCCACCTGCCCAAAGTATATGTCCTTTGGGATAAATTCACAGAAACTATTCAAGTATTGGGTTTTTTTAAAACCATAAGATATTTGTGATAATTCCTATCTTATACCTCTTTGTTTTTTCAGGATTTATTTATACATGTGGTGGAACTTTAAAAGGACTCAATGGAACTATAGAAAGTCCAGGCTTCCCATATGGATATCCAAATGGTGCAAACTGTACATGGGTAATAATTGCAGAAGAAAGAAACAGAATACAGATAGTATTTCAGTCTTTTGCTCTAGAAGAAGAATATGACTATTTATCATTATATGATGGGCATCCTCAGCCAACGAACTTCAGGACAAGGTAAGTGCTCTTTTTATCCTATCGAATGCATTCTTGCTCCAGATTAGTACCTTTGCTAGAATCTTCTTTTCTGGCAATATGCAGAACCAGCATTATTACTTCCCCCTCCCCTTGGTTTTTGCCCCCTCTTATTTTCCATAACCAGCGCTAAACTCAAATTACAGAATGAGATTCACTCAAAGGTATCATGGCCTCCTCATCTTTAGGCTGACAACCTCTTTGACATAAACACATGAGCTTTTGTGAAAATGGTATATTTAGAAGCCGAGAAAATATCCAACTTGTCACATTCCATTCAGCCTTATATATCCTCTGCTGCATACACTGACATAATCATGGTAAAATGTATGATCTACATGCAGAGTTCCAGGATCACTCACTAGACACTCTTTTCCTTAAGTACTGTATATTCTCAGAAAAGCTCTGCTTCCAGTGTTTGGAAGCTGTCCTGAAAATTAGTGTTTCAATTACCCCTTATTTCCATACATAGATATTTTCTGACTATCTCTGTTCTTGCATTTTGGAAAATTGGAGGGTTCCATTTTATGTGTGTGTCTGCCTGCCAACAAGAAAGGCCATAACATGATCTCAAAATTCCAAATTTCACCATTGCCTGAAAAAGACTGAAGCTATTGGAATGGCCAACTTAAATAGTAAAAGCCATTCTCATGACTAGGATGGTATAACTCTGATGATCCCGTTGCTATCCAAATAGTAAATACTGAATATATTTGAGCTGCAGCTATTCTATGCTAGTGCAATTAGATGTACTGTAAGATTTAATATTCTATTAAATATTTGTAAAAGAAACTGTCTCTAACACATCTGCTTCAGAATCCAGAGTAGCCCCAGACAAAGCATTACCAGCCACAGAAGAGTCTGAGCAATGTGTGGGGTGAAAAATGAAATGGCATAATATTGGAAGATAGAATATGGGGCTAAATGTACTATCTATATCTATCTATACATATAGATATAGATTACATACACATACACACATATACAAAAACATATAGATATACACACACATCACTTTTTGTTTGTTCAATAAAGTTGTGGAAAGAACCAGGATCCTTTCAATTCTTTTTGGAGTCTCAAATCAGACTGCTTAATAGTTTGTGTGTTGCCCAGCAGCACACTTTTCCAGGCAAAGTGCACTTTTCTTAGTGTTGTGCCACAATTTGCTTTCTGTACTCTCAAAAGTTTTCTTCCTTTGTGAAAAAGGCTTATGCATCTCTACTTGATCCTTAAGATGTTTCAGAATTTCCTTTATGTTTTTCTTGGCAGTTTTTGTAAGCAGACTTGGTTGTTGAAGATGCTATTGCTAGGGGTGCTGTTTTCTGTTATCATGGGTATTGTATACATGATATGACTTATGACCTTGTATCAAAGGGCATAATGCATAATTGTGTTGTTTGCACAATTGTAACATGGTGAACATGTCATCATTTTGACATTTTTGTGGTTTGTAATGGACATCCATGTTTATTACACATTCTGTAGACTCCCCACATTTCCAGTCTCAAAAAACAAAACAAAACAATGGAAGCCATTTTCTTCTGTTAGCTTCCTTTAGGTTTTAATTAAAATGGAAGAAATTATGACTACTGCAGAGTGATGGAGGGATTATTACATCATAAGGAAACAATTTGGTGGATGGTGATGATGTATCCAACAAGAAAGGCCATAACATGATCTCAAAATTCCAAATTTCACCATTGCCTGAAAAAGACTGAAGCTATTGGAATGGCCAACTTAAATAGTAAAAGCCATTCTCATGACTAGGATGGTATAACTCATATTAAAAGCGGTAATTGGTAGCTAAAGAATGAAATACTTTTCTGAATGGTTGATAAAGAACAACAATTTACCTATAGCCTTATGTAAAGTACACAGAAATTAGTAGATGATAATGGGGGGGGGAGGGGGGAGAGAAATATTCCATTGGCATACAGTAGCTATTGAAATCAGGAAAATTAAAATTTAGACAGGGACATCCAACAAGAAAATCAGTTCTATTTGTTTATTACTATTCATTACAACACAAAATTTCATTTACTGGAAAAAAATGATGCTGTGAAGTTTCCCTCCCTTTGTTTAGCAGTGATTTGCATTTGGTATTGCCAGGTGATCCTCTGAATGAACCAGAGAAGCTCAGACCATGTGCAGTGTTTGAAAGCCCTAAAGATAAAGACTCCTTCTACTGCTGGTGGCTACACATTCATGAGTAGATAGAACACATCCACAGAATGTTCTTGGCAGCTGTAGAGACATACACATGTACACACTATATATATGTAGGACAAGAAAATTAAATAAGCAAAACATGAGATATAATTTGAATATATTAAAGTTAAAACAATAACACATGTCTAAAACTAAGTGGGGCCCAGCACAAAGGGTCTTCTCTCCCTCCTGTCCTCCCCACCTCATTGATTGGCCTTGGGTGCTTAGTGGCTTGTAAAAGTGAAAGCATCCTTGCCTGAACCTACTAGCTGCCTCTAAAACACTGTTCTCCTTTACCTAAGATCCCTCTAATATAGAGACATTATTCTGTATGGAGCACAAAGGTTGGGGTCTTAAACCAGAGAATGCAGTGGTCAAATCCCAATATCTATCAAATGTTACAATATAGCTTATTTTAGTAATAAATGTCTGCCAGTGGTTGCATTCGTTGTCAGCTAAAGCAGTAAAGTAATCTGTGTCCAACTAGGCTTAAACATTGTTACCTCCAGGATTTATTCCCTCTGTCTGAGAAACACCTCACCAAAACTACTGTCTTGATACTCTCACCTCACTATGTCTTCAGGACCTCAACCTTTGGCCTGTTCTTGGCTACACCCCTTTCTTCGGTTCCTTGGACACTGATCTGCTATCCTATTATCAGCTTTGATGACCTAAGCCTAACAACTGAAACAAGATCCCCATGGATTTTAATGACTTATATATACCCAATACCCACACAAATGATGTTTTCACCCATTTACATATATCATCTGAATTCAACTCAAATTCAAAACCTCAGACATAAGGGGATACACCAAAATTCAAATGGGGATATTTAAGTCCCCTTAATTATTCAACTTCAAATTTGTATTTTTAAAACTTTTTATAAATGTAAAGAAAACAGTCCTGTGACTCCATTAAAGTCAAGAGTCAGAAAAGTAGTTGTCTACACATTTCCTGGCAGACATTGATTTTCCTGATGTTCCCTTTATAAATAGGGGCTTCCTGAGTTTTTCAGGTCCTCAGGGGGTCTTTCCAAAAAGCACATAATCATTACACATAAGGGTCCAAGTAATTTGCTTCTCTCTTCACTACTCCTTCTCTGTCTAAATTGACCAGCTGAGCAAACAGTCTGAAATGATTAGGAGCAAATTAAGTGCTCAGCATTTTTGACACACCTTTGAACTACTAAGCACAGATGCATTGATTTTCTTCATATAGTACTACAGCTCTGACCACTGCTTACATGCAGAGAACTCTGAAGAAGTGTAACATTAGCCATGGGGAATTCAGTATGGTAAGGAAGAAAAGATATAATGACAGTCCAAATGTCTCTATACATTAAAAAAAATAATAAAATAGCAAATAGTGTTTATATTCAGAGATGGTCTGTTTTTTTACCATTTCCATTCAAATTAACTCAAAATATTGGAGAAAAGAAAAAGAGATTATTAATGTGATCGCCTTCCTTCCTTCCTTCCTTCCTTCCTTCCTTCCTTCCTTCCTTCCTTCCTTCCTTCTATAGAGTTTCACAAGCAATGAATTTTACTCTAAGAACTGTGTTTAAAAGAGAGAGAGGGAGAATGGAATGATACAAAGGTGCATATTGTCCCCATATTTGCTCAATGATTTTATATATAAAAAATTCCCCTCTCACCCATATGGATGCTATGTGTCTTCCTCAATCTCAGGTCCTCTACCGAGGTCTTGGAGTTTGAGGGTTCTGCGCAGTATCTTAGTGGTTCCTAGCACTGCACTCTTCTGGACAGAGAGCTCTGATGTTGTTCCTGGGATCTGTTGGAGCCACCTTAGGAGTCACAACCCTAAGTGCTCCTACCACCATACACAGAGAGAGACAGACAGACAGACAGACAGACAGACAGAGACAGAGACAGAGACAGAGACAGAGACAGAGACAGAGACAGAGACAGAGACAGAGACAGAGACAGAGACAGAGAGAACTAAAGAGGTGTTGTCTGGAATCAAAATAAGGTGGTGAAATGCTAACAGTTTGAGATATGCAGGCAATATCACTTTGTTTGCTGAAAGAAAATATCACTTAGAGGGACTCATTATTAATGTAAACAACTGGAAAGTGAAAAAACTGGAGTAGGCTTAAATATTAAGATAAAGGTAATGCCGATCAGCATGTTTACTGAACTTTAAACTGGCAGTGATGAAGTGAAGGTGGTATATAATTTTGCTTTGTTCATCTCATAAATAGATAAAGATTAACAGTGTACTGCAGAAGTTAACAGGAGATCAATTCTAAGGATTAAGGCAACAACAAATTTAGAGCTGGCCATGAAGGATAAACATATTTCTGTGATTACAAAGATCAGAACAGTTATAACAATATATTTTCTAGTGATTATGTACAGCTATGGAGTCTGGGTACTGAGAAAGAAGAAGAAAACATGAATGCCTTAAAATTATATATTTGGAGATTTATAACTTTACATTTAATGCTACTAAGAATATTATGGTCTGCAAGAACTCCAGTCCTGGATGAGATGAAGACTGGCCTCTTGAGGTGAGGGTCACCTAGCACAAACCCATATACTTTGGGTATGGGATGCATGTAGGTGATGAACTAAAAAAAATAAAGATTATGCTTGGCAAGTGGGAGATAAATAGAAAAGAAAGACAACAGATGAAGTGGTTAGATGGGATCAAAGAATTTATAAGGGCTCTCCTTAAAAGAGTTATGGGTTGTTTCTGGATACAGGTTGAGATGGTGGGTCAGGCTCAAAATGGCATTTAACTATAATATT